ACCCTGGACAACACCCTGTCGTTCTCCGCTAACATCAAAGCGGTGACCCGATCCTGTAGGTTCATGCTCTACAACATTCGGAGAGTACGACCCTGCCTTACACAGGAAGCGGCACAGGTCCTAATCCAGGCACTTGTCATCTCCCGTCTGGATTACTGCAACTCGCTGTTGGCTGGGCTCCCTGCCTGTGCCATTAAACCCCTACAACTCATCCAGAATGCCGCAGCCCGTCTGGTGTTCAACCTTCCCAAGTTCTCTCACGTCACCCCGCTCCTCCGCACACTCCACTGGCTTCCAGTTGAAGCTCGCATCTGCTACAAGACCATGGTGCTTGCCTACGGAGCTGTGAGGGGAATGGCACCTCCGTACCTTCAGGCTCTGATCATTCCCTACACCCAAACGAGGGCATTGCGTTCATCCACCTCTGGCCTGCTGGCTCCCCTACCTCTGCGGAAGCATAGTTCCCGCTCAGCCCAGTCAAAACTGTTCGCTGCTCTGGCACCCCAATGGTGGAACAAGCTCCCTCACGACGCCAGGACAGCGGAGTCACTCACCACCTTCCGGAGACATTTGAAACCCCACCTCTTTAAGGAATACCTGGGATAGGATAAAGTAATCCTTCTACCCCCCCCCTTACCCCAACCCCCCCCCCCCCCCCCAAAATAAAATAAAATAAATATATATATATATATATATATATACCGTATTGGTCCGAATATAAGACGACCCTGATTATAAGACGACCCCCCGTTTTTCAACACAAACATTTAGAAAAACAGATTTGCAGACTAGATTTGCCGAACAAAGAACTTCATTTTATTTTAAAATAACAATATTAAAAACACAGTGAATTAAACACAAAGGCAAACTATGTACAGTATGATTCAAAATTAATATCAAGCAATAATAAAGCAACATTTTTAAATAACAGAGAAAATACAGGCCACACATTTAACTAAACTTAACAAAAATTCGCCAAACTTCTCCTCCGATGTCTCTCTATCCCTCACACACGTCCTCTGCCCCGCTGTGTTCGCTCTCGCTGTCATCGCTCCCCAGCTGCTCCGCTTCGTTAGCATCTTTTAGACGTTGTTTTTTCTGCTCGCCATCTTCTTACATTACACTCAGTGACCCCGAATGTCTTGGCAGCTTGGCAGTTGTTAGATGACTCTGCCTTATTGACAACCATTATTTTGAAATTGGCATCATAGCTCCTCCGCTGTTGTTTATTGACCTGGCCCACTTTTGAGCCACTTGTCTCTAAATGGTCAGCCTGTCTTTCCATCTTTAAACACCGGTAACGGGCTGGTTGTTAAGGACGCCTCTTCCCTCCGTCCGGAACGAATTTTTGGCGCCATCTGTGCCCGCGAATGTGTATTGACATTTAAAGGGAGCGCCGAAGAAGAGAAACTGCGCTCTGAATACTAGACCCCGAATATAAGACGACCCGACTTTTTTGGACCTATTTCGAGGGGAAAAAAGGCCGTCTTATATTCGGACCAATACGGTATATATATATATATATATATATATATATATACAATAAAAATAAATAAACAAAGAAAACAAAAAAAAAATTAATGTAAATAAGGGGACGACAAGCGGATAAGAGGCAATCCGTAATTTCAATTAAGACATTAATGAGCGAGCTAGGATGGACGTAGTCAATATAACTATTTGTTCAGCACTTTTGAAATGTACAGCGACAGAATTCAGTCCATGGGCCGTTCTTACTGCATTCTCACCTTGTTGTGCTGTGCTCACTTGAACAGGAAGGTGGCGCGGCTGTCCTTTTTTTGTCATCAAACTTTGTCGTCAAAGTCTGGCATTCTGTTGATTTATGGCGCTTTCAAGACAACTGAGAGCTCGGAAAAAAACAAGGTCGAATCATGATGACGTAAGTGATCTTCAGGTCGGAGCTCTAGAAAGAAGCCTGAGTTCCCGACTTGCAATTCCGAGTTGGATGACCGTTCAAAGCGTATTTTCCCAGTCAGAGCTAATTCTTTTCAGAGTTCCCAGTTGTCTTGAACTCACTGAAGTCTGTGATTTCCCAATTCCGAGTTTCCAGTTGTTTTAAATGCGGCAGAGGTCATGCTGGATTGACAGCATGGCCAATGTATTCAACCTTTTCTGGCCCATGGCATGTGAATGTTTATCCTTTTAAGCTTGGAAAAGAGACCCTTAAACCCAGACTTGAACCACACACCCACTCCACTGAATAGCAGGCTAGTGATTGCTTTGCAATGCTTGCAGTTAGCCACTGATTCCTTCCATGATTTGACGTCATTTTAATGACCTTGAGCTTTCTTGGATGGGCACTTCTAATGTAACTCTATGGTAGCACGCAAGGGGCTTGAATTTTCTAACTCTCCCCGTAGATTTTGCGGCGACGTAGTGTCCCAATGAGTGACAGAACGCTGAGCCAATCACGGCGCAACTAGAGAACAATACCAACCCCTACGCTCCCTATTTTCCGCTGGCTGCCCCACCACCATAGAAAGCACTGAGCTAGGCTGAAACACCTGCATTTTGGAGCTGCCTTACTCAAGAAAGCAAAAAAGAGACCATGTTTGTATGCAGCTTTATTAACTCAATGATTATATATTTTTTACATTGTTTGCAAACTGATATGTGACAAGTATTAATGCCAAAATAACATGCAAAACAGGCAACAACAATATATATATATATATATACAGTACCAGTCAAAAGTTTGGACACACCTACTCATTCAAGGGTTTTTCTTTATTTTTACTATTTTCTACATTGTAGAATAATAGTGAAGACATCAAAACTATGAAATAATACATATGGAATCATGTAGTAACCAAAAAAGGGTTAAACAAATCAAAACATACTTTATATTTGAGATTCTTCAAAGTAGCCACCCTTTGCCTTGATGATAGCTTTGCACACACTTGGCATTCTCTCAACCAGCTTCACCTGGAATGATTTTCCAACCATCTTGAAGGAGTTCCCACATACGTTGAGCACTTGTTGGCTGCTTTTCCTTCACTCTGGGGTTCAACTCATCCCAAACAATCTCAATTGGGTTGAGGTCGGGTGATTGTGGAGGCCAGGTCATCTGATGCAGCACTCCATCACTCTCCTTCTTGGTCAAATAGCCCTTACACAGCCTGGAGGTGTGTTGGGTCATTGTCCTGTTGAAAAACAAATTATAGTCCCACTAAGCACAAACCAGATGGGATGGTGTATCGCTGCAGAATGCTGTGGTAGCCATGCTGGTTAAGTGTGCCTTGAATTCTAAATAAATCACAGACAGTGTCACCAGCAAAGCACCCCCACACCATTACACCTCCTCCTCCATGCTTCACGGTGGGTACCACACATGCAGAGATCATCCATTCATACCGGTCTAATGTCCACTGCTCGTGTTTCTTGGCCCAAGCAAGTCTCTTCTAATTATTGGTGTCCTTTAGTAGTGGTTTCTTTGCAGCAATTCGACCATGAAGGCCTGATTCACGCAGTCTCCTCTGAACAGTTGATGTTGAGATGTGTCTGTTACTTGAACTCTTTTATTTGGGCTGCAATCTGAGGTGCATTTAACTCTAATGAACTTATCCTCTGCAGCAGAGGTAACTTTGGTTCTTCCTTTCCTGTGGCGGTCCTCATGAGAGCCAGTTTCATCATAGCGCTTTATGGTTTTTGCGACTGCACTTGAAGAAACTTTCAAAGTTCTTGACATTTTCCGTATTAACTGACCTTCATGTCTTAAAGTAATGATGGACTGTCATTTATCTTTGCTTATTTGAGCTGTTCTTGCCATCCATAATATGGACTTGGTCTTACCAAATAGGGCTATCTTCTGTATACCACCCCTACCTTGTCACAATACAACTGATTGGCTCAAATGCATTAAGAAGGAAAGAAATTCCACAAATTAACTTTTAACAAGGCACACCTGTTAATTGAAATACATTCCAGGTGACTACCTCATGAAGCTGGTTGAGAGAATGCCAAGAGTGTGCAAAGCTGTCATCAAGGAAAAGGGTGGCTACTTTGAAGAATCTCAAATATAAAATATGTTTTGATTTGTTTAATACTTTTTTGGTTACTACATGATTCCATATGTGTTATTTCATAGTTTTGATGTCTCCACTATTATTCTACAATGTAGGAAATAGTAAAAATAAAGAAAAACCCTTGAATGAGTAAGTGTGTCCAAACTTTTGACTGGTACTGTATATATTTTTATTTATTTTTTATTTTTAGCTAAACAAGTGGGGCTCAAAACAGTCCTGAATGACTGGTCACCACTGGAAAGGACCAATGTCCTGATGGAGATATAATCCTACTGCCACATCCAGTGAACAGGTGGACAGGTTGGCAATGACACGATTCAATCAGTACACTAATGAGAGTTTCACTAAAATGATGGAATGCTTTCCCTATTCTATCACTAAGGCACCAATAACAGTCCAGATCTATTTACATGAGTCTGGCAAAAATATAATATTTTTCATATTTGAAAGTTTCAAATGATATGCAAGTCACTCCACTTGGAAGGACATAAACTTTGACGACGTTGTGTATATTTATTGTTGGCCTCTGCATCTGCATACAGACTGAATTAATCCAAAACCAAATCCCTCTGTGGTGTCTTCTTGAACTTCAAACTATGATGAAAATAAGATCCAGCCATCCTCTCTAATCACCAAGGAGATTGTCTGCTATCCACCTTCTAGCCTAATCGACACTGCTGTAACACTCAATAGTGTCAGTGTCTCAATGTGCGTCAATGATCAAAGCAGCTTGTTGGCTTGTTTGTTTGTTTGTTTCTGCGCTACCTCCGTAGTCCCTGAGGTAATAAACAAGCAGTCTCCTACATTCTCTCTCTCCATACAGAACTTCTCCCACTAGTAGTAGTTTGTTGGTCTTGGGTTGATAGTGTCTTGAGTGGATAGTGTCTGCTTTTTTTTTAATACTTACTCTCACTACTACATACTATGTTGGGGTCCCCTTCCAGTCCCACTAATCCCTCATATATTGGGGTCCCCCTCCAGTTTGGTCAGGTCAGTGGCGGTCCCCATAAACATGCTCTTTCCCCTCTCCAGCCGGCTCTTCTTGTCCGTCAGCCGGAAGGCCTCCATGAACTCACCGATGTCAATGTTGCCGTCCTGGTTGGTGTCTATGGTAACGGACAGGTCTGAGATGGCCTCGTCAGTGATCTCCATCTTTAAGAAGGCACTCAGCAGCTTCCATGTCTGACGGAAGTCCTCCATTGTGATGAACCCTGGAGGGAGGAGGGAGGAGGGGGAGAGAGAGGGGAGTGTCATGACTCTCCCTGAGTAAGGATCAAAGGCCTCACGTCAGCTTGGCAAATGGCCGACAACAACCACACCCTCTTACCCACAGGGGGGCTGTGCCGGTCCTGACACCTTAATACTGCCATAAATTAGAGAGGAGGATAATCTATCTCTGGCAGTCTAGCATGGTGAAAGGAATGCCGTTCTTTCAGATACTTTTAGCCGCCCAAAAACTTCAACATCCAACAATGAACATTGGGACAATATATTTCAACATCCAAACGTTGGGAATGATGAGAAATGGAATATGGAAAATGAATGTATATTTTGTGATGTCATTAAAAATGGTATAAAGGCGTTATAACAAAAACATTGTGACTTGAAGAGCTTTTACACTGTGGATATCAGGTTTACATCCTATACGTTGTATCAAGGAGGAAGACAATGTTTTCGTGAAGATAGGAATGTGATTTGAGCTTTCTAACAAAATCATAGTGATGATAATACTTTTGCCTCGTAACTAGCCACGCCCGAGGGAGCTCAGAGAGCGTGTTAGTATGACGGAAATGCCCCTCTTTACCAGAGTACATAAAAGATTGAGATAAGAATTATCAGATCAGACTAGACGGACCTCAAGCTGCACCTTTTGTCCATATTGGTCCCGACCCTGAAAATCAACATGAGGTGAAGACGAAAAAGTTGCCTCCACGAACAATCAATGTTACGGCTGAGTAGCTGTTCTAAGTACTGTATCTAAGAAGGTGAATTTAAGTGGGACCATTCTGTTACTCTCTTCAAACCATCGTCCACTACACTGCTCTCATCACCCCACAGGGGATCATCGACACGGCTGATTAGCCGTCCTCAGAAGACCACTTCCAGAACGAGTGAAAGTAAACAGACAACTAAGAAGAATGACATTGTGACCTCTTGTGGACAATCTGAGCCTTACATCTAAAAGGCCAATCCGAAAGAGAAGGTCCAATCGACCCCTTCCCACGAAGGCCTGGGTGCAACAGAGACACACGACGAAGACACGTAAATACATGCATTGCTTTTCTTCCCAAACGGGCAGCAGTTCGGGGCAAAGTATTAGGAATACTGTGAGCATAGGTCCTTGTGTATCCAAGTGTTCTCTTTCTCTCTCTCTCTCTCTCTCTCTCTCTCTCTCTCTCTCTCTCTCTCTCTCTCTCTCTCTCTCTCTCTCTCTCTCTCTCTCTAACTCGCCATCTTTTGTAACAAGTGTCATATTGTGTTAGTCCGCTAGGGACCCGTTTTCATTGCATTAAGTTTCAAATCCCTACCTATACCATGTACGTGTTTGTATCTTGTGTTATCATTTTTAATTAGTTAGTAAATAAATAATTTAATCAATTTGTGTGGTACGGAATGATCAGTAAGACCCGGGTTCGTGCAGACTTAAAGAGACTACGACTTTCAGAATGAGACTGATATGAGGTAAATGATTAATAAATGACTGTTAAATGATAATAATAATAATAATAATAATAATAATAATAATATGCCATTTAGCAGACGCTTTTATCCAAAGCGACTTACAGTCATGCGTGCATACATCTTTTGTGTATGGGTGGTCCCGGGGATCGAACCCACTACCTTGGCGTTACAAGCGCCGTGCTCTACCAGTTGAGCTACAGAGGACCACGATAAGAGATATCTAGATATCTTTAGAGTGAACTCGGGAAACGGTAACTCGTTAAACAACTTTTCCCATGGTGCCCCAAATTCCTAATGAGTTAACTGTTACATGATTAATTTAATCTAGTAAATATTAAACATAGTAGGTAATTTTCAATAAATAATAGTCATCACAATAATGAAAGTCACGCCACAACAGGAGGGAGAGGGGAGGGAGAGGCAGGAGAGAGGGGGAGAATGGTAGAGAGGAGAGGGAGGAGAGAAGGGAAGGGAGGAGAGATGGGGATGAGAGATGGAGAGCCAGTGGGAAGAGGGGAGGGATAGGTAGCAGGGCTTGCGTCAGTTGGTTGGATGTGACACTAGAAGACCAGTGGGTTAATCCTAAATCAGCCACCACCTACTGCTGTAGTTAGCTTTAACACCCCACAGACAGATTACAGGGAGGTTGGCCTCAATAAGTACGACATGTGTCTGAGTGTACTTATGTATGTACGTATGCAAACTACGCGCCCCAAACTAATAACTGAGTCAACACAGGTAACCGGTAGTTGATGTCATGTCTTGTGGGATCAAAACATTCACCTGAAGAAACAATACATGGAATGATGAGTATTGTTACCTGAGTTGTCTAAATCCACTATTCTGAAGATGGTCTCCAAGGTGGCGCGATGACGGTACAGGGTCTCCAGCAAACCCTGATCGATGTGCTGAATAGGCAATCAAGGGGAGAGTTGTCTATGAACACTCTATGGAATGACACCCATTATTTTCTATGGCATCAGGTTTTGAATCAAGAGGTGCGTCATGACATAACAGGTGTGTTCCCACAGAATGCTATATAACCACGTATGCTTGGACAAGACACACAAACACAATTAGCCTGTTGGGACAGAAGTATGTACATCCACAAGGATTTAATCAGTATGTTCAATATGGAAGTTAAATGACAGATGTAACATGCCATTACCTCCATTTGTGGCTCTTTTATGGAGAGTTCCTGGAACCACTCCTGGTAATCCAACATGCCCCCCAGGGTCTTGCAGGTGACTAGCTGAAAGCGCAGCATCCTCCAGGGTAGGCCTAGACGCAGCACACTCTCTACCGCAATAGCCCAGTCATTCAGAGACACCTGCCCTGTGTTGGAGACAGGGAGGAGGGGACTGCTTAACATTAACTTTACTACCAAGATTTGTTGGGATGGGGATTAAAAAGATCAGCACCCAGTACAAAGAGGTGAGATCACATTTCCACAATATATTATATCTGAGTATATATCCAGTACAAATACAAATAGGAAGAAAGTATGCTGTATATATATAAAAAATAAAAAATAATATATATATATATATATATATATATATATAGGGAGAGAGAGAGAGAGAGAGAGAGAGAGAGAGAGAGAGAGAGAGAGAGAGAGAGAGAGAGAGAGAGAGAATTTTAATGTTTTCCACCAAGTCCTCCAACCAGGGGAGGGGGTCGTAAAAAAAAAAAGGATCCAAAAGGATGCAAGCTAGGTTATTTGATAGACTTAAATTGTATCTGCTAATTTCATAGCTGATCTATTCCCCCCGAAAAAACTACCACAAAATAAGATATTATATCTCATGAAATATGAGTATAAACGAGTAAAGGGTGTAAATTGGATTCAATCACATAAATCTTAATCCTTTGGAAGAATATTTGATCATGGCTATGTCAATTGATACGACACCTGTTTTGTCTTTGTCAAACTCTTGGAAGGCAATGACGAGGTCCGACTTGTGTGCAAACAACTGTTCCCGCAGGACCTTGAGGGCTGAATGTTCCACCTTCCCCACACTGTAGTCCAGACAGGGAGAGCAGATCAAACTCTGTCCTCGTCAATTTAATAATCTATATTTTATTAATCAAAATAATTGTCTGTTGTAGCTTACTTTTTCCTCAGGGTGAGTTCTCGAGTCATACTGCTAGCCTGGTACTGAATCAAATAAGGCACTAGGTCTGGTCCCAGTTTCACGTAGGCCCCTCTGTTGCTGCCCACTTCATAGTAGTTGGAGGCAGAGAACAGAGTGAGGACCTGTTGTACAAATTGTAAACAATACAGAATTACCAAACAGTGAAAAGCAGTGTTTTAGTTTCCAGAAACCTCTCGTACTGCACTTTCAAAGCACACAAATTTAGGCTGACTAAAGCAAGTGAGCAGCTTTACAACCAGTGTTGACTTGGGCAGGAGCTCACCGGAGCTGATTACCGGCACCTCAAATGTTCTACTGCTTGAGCTCCTCTTATAGAATATTAGCTCAAAAATATGGTGGAGCAACTGCTCCCCTCTGCAAATTGAGAAAATACTGTAGTGTAGGCCTATGTCACGACAGGGCAGTGGGCATAGTGGGCATAAAAGGGATTTACCATTCAAAATATGCCATTACCAAAGCTAGGAGTTGTTCCTGGCCACATGACTTGACTAGGACTAACTTGTGGCCCTAGTTATAGCGTATAATGAGGGTCTAGAATGTTTTATGATCAGGTCATGTCTCAGAGTATTGCTGATCTGACATCAGTTTAGCAATTTAGATCATAATGAATAGGATTATATGGACAGGGGAAAGTGTAATATATCCACTCTCCTACTCTGAGACACTGTTTGAATACGGGCCCTAGTCTTACCCATCCTATGTAAACCCTTAGACACCTTTAGCCTGACTGTTCTCACCCTGCGGTTGTGGCAGAACTCGTAGCCGTCCTGCTTGCACTCGTGGGAGCGGATGATGAGCTGCATGTTGTGTCTGTCCAGGAAGTCCCGGGTGACGTCTGGCCCCCAGTAGCAGCCTCCTCCCCGCACCTCGTTGGGTATGCAGCCGTTCTGAGACATGGGATCACTCCACAGTAGGTCCAGGATCTAATCATATTAATAATACATCGTAAAATTATGAGCATTTTTGTCAGACCCAAAGACCTTACAATAGGCTATCATAATGACAATAAACAAATGACTGGTATAGGGCTATAAGTAGATATAGAGGTGAGAAGACCATGGCTGTATCTCAAATGACACTCTATTCCCAAAATAGTACACTACTTTTAGCCAGCGCTTATATTAAATCAGAGTATATACTACATACTGCCGATAATCATTTCACCATTTAAGAGACAGATTTTCCTTAACATACTGTGATGGATTCAGTTGAATAACTATTGTACTGTAAGACACATTAGCCTTCACCAATGAGTTAAATGGAAGAGAACAAAATATAGTTGGCTACTCTTGTAAAACGAGGGCTTGTCCTGAAACGTGTCTGCTTGTAAGACGGCTGGTAAATTGGAAAACAAGATTGTTATTCAGGTTGACGGATTAATGGTCCTCTGTCTTACAGTCTGTCTACCAGTGACTAAGTAAATGACTGTACGCAGGTTGGCATTTATTGTCATGAGTCTTGCCCTGGAGGCAGCTCTGCAGAGTGGTCACTAGCTGGCACAGCCATAAAGTAATACAACCTGATTTAAAAACGAACCCTAACCTTAACCCTAACCTTAACCACACTGCTATTTTTATGAAATAACATTTTGACTTTGCAGCTGGTCCATCTAGCGCCTGTGGCACTCCAGGACCAGGGTTGCTTACACCTGATCTAGCAGAAATCGCTCAGTTCTGCCTCCAGGGCAAGATTCATGACAATAGAGCACTCCTAGTCCTGAGGTGGTGTTTAACAACCAATTATGAGTAACTGACCGAGTATCGAACCTGGATTGAGCTAAAGGCTAAAGTCGTCTGGTCTCAGACAAGGTTACTGTTACTCATCACAGAGCACAGTTCACCAAACCACCTCTCTAGTCTACAACACATCCCCAGCCGGAGGTCCTCACCTGTTTCCACTCCTCTACGGTAGTGTCTGCTGTGTCGGTGGATTCCTGCGACACCGAGGAGACGGCCGGGTTGTTGAGTTCCCCCTGACTGTGGCTGAAGCCGCCATTGATGAAGCTGGACTGCCTCCGCCGCACCTCTATCTCCTCGTCAACGGTCCGGGGGACCCTGCCGGAAAAGTCCTGGAGTGAGCGGCGCTGGAAGCCATCCCGGGGTCCGAAGTTGTTGGCCTTGATCAGGGAGACCCGGCGCTGGTTGTTCTTGGTGCCTGACAGGTCGTCTTCCATGTCCGAGTCCACAGAGGACTGGCTCACTGGGTATTGTGTCCTCTTCTTAGGAGGCCTCAGGGCAGACACGTACTGAGAGACGACAGAGAGAGAGAGAGAGAGAACACAAAGGCATTGTTTAAATTATATTAAATAATTGATTAACATTTACATCTGTGCTCTTTGTCAGTCAGTGCAAATTGACCATTTTCCCTTTTCTTCATGGGTTTGTATAGTGAATGTGCCCCCATATGTTTGATTGATAGATTGATAGAAACCACACTTGTCTAGAGATAGTCTCACTCACTTTGTGTCTGTCCACTCTGGCTATGAGGCAGAGGTCCGTGGTGTTGGAGATGCCCCCATGCAGGATCAACACTTTCTGATCGATGACTGTTGCCAGGGGCAACCAGCTGAAGATCTTCTGAAGCAGCTTTAGGATCCTCTTGCCGTGCATCTGAGGACAAGGGAAACAAACTATCATTATAATCAATCACTGCATTGTTGAATAGATAAGAGGAGTCTGACATTTTGTCCATATATGTGCCAGCAAAGTTGTGAATTGTGTTTAAAAAATGTATGTCAAACTGGTCTGGCTTTTAAACCAGTGTAAACAAATAATCACTTTAGCTGTACTATTTTGATGTTTAGAATCTCGGTAAAGATCCAAGAGCGCATTGCTGCGTGGGCGTAGTTACAGTAAAGCCACTGATCTTCCTGACTCACTGTAACCTGTAACTGGCAGATTGGGACAACACTGATGACCTTAAGTCATCTTGTTTATCAACCTCTTAATCCTTTTACTGTACGTTAGGTAGAGGAGTCAGTGAGTGACCCACACTGTACGTGGAAATACACCCTGCAAAGTGACCAGAGTATCCCTTTTAAACTCTGAGCCTGACAGCAATGAGCAAGCCAACTGCAGTTTATAGTTGTGATTCCAAGTGATCAAAGTATTAAATAAAGAGACTGTTTAGAGAGCAAAGAGATTTTCCTGATGTTTTATAAGTAGGATAAAGAGGATTTAATGCCATATGGTCAACAAACTATTCAGAACATCCTGCACGTATTTACAGTCTCACATGTTGACTGACATCAGACTTCAGTGAGCTTGTTGGCTTGGCCCTAATTTATGTGTTCTCTGTCACCTGGAGCTGCATGGCAAATGGTCCAGGAACACAAGGATAGGACAATGCCCAAAGACTAGTCAGCCCTTTCCCCTCTGAGGGGCCAAAATGTATCTCTCTGCTACAGTATCCAGAGCACTGAATATTGAATGTGATAGAATAATACTATAGTATCCATGTATGGTTTCAATCTGAAACTTGTTCACTGGGGATAACTCTGACGCTATCTATATGTAAGTATGATCTCTGTGGTTACTCGTATCTGTATAGGGTGAACTCTGAATTACTATATGCAAAAATAATGTATGGTCCCCTCAGGAATTCTGCCTTATTTACACTGGTCTTATCTCCCACACAAGCATTTAAATGATGTGACACCCTGTGGAGATTGGGCCTTGGTGGTCAGGTTACACAGTAAACTTGGAATTGTTTGATTGGTCAAAGGTGGTTGGTCTTGGGTTGAAATGTTACACCTTCAGATGTTATAAATGGAATGAAATGCCTTTGTTCTCTCTCTTATCCTGTATCCAGTCCATGGAGGAAGGTTGTATGATCAATTATCATTTTCTAGGCTTCTGGGCCTCTGGCCTAGTAAGCATCTCTTTGTCCATGCTTTGCCTTGTAAATTAACCTTTGAATCTGTATGCCTAGAATAATGATTTGTTGATCTCAGTATTGCCTTGTAACTTAAGCGTTATGCCTTGCATGTGAACCTATTCATTTGACAAAGTTATTAAATAAAACTTGTGTTGATATTCGCTTCTCATGACCATTCATTGATCTTAGTCAGCTAAACGCATAATAGTTTATTATATTTTATTTATTTATTTTTTCTTTAAGGGGTGGATCAGCTTTAATAGTGCAGATAGATTGTAGCTTCCATCAATGTAATTGTCTGCATCATTTCCAATTCCCCATATATTTTTTTGTAAATACAGTGGGGAGAACAAGTATTTGATACACTTCCGATTTTGCAGGTTTTCCTACTTACAAAGCATGTAGAGATCTGTAATTTTTATCATAGGTACACTTCAACTGTGAGAGACGGAACCTAAAACAAAAATCCAGAAAATCACATTGTATGATTTTTAAGTAATTAATTTGCATTTTATTGCATGACATAAGTATTTGATACATCAGAAAAGCAGAACTTAATATTTGGTACAGAAACCTATGTTTGCAATTACAGAGATCATACGTTTCCTGTAGGTCTTGACCAGGTTTGCACACACTGCAGCAGGGATTTTGGCCCACTCCTCCATACAGACCTTCTCCAGATCCTTCAGGTTTCGGGGCTGTCGCTGGGCAATAGGGACTTTCAGCTCCCTCCAAAGATGTTCTATTGGGTTCAGGTCTGGAGACTGGCTAGGCCACTCCAGGACCTTGAGATGCTTCTTACGGAGCCACTCCTTAGTTGCCCTGGCTGTGTGTTTCGGGTCGTTGTCATGCTGGAAGACCCAGCCACGACCCATCTTCAATGCTCTTACTGAGGGAAGGAGGTTGTTGGCCAAGATCTCGCGATACATGGCCCCATCCATCCTCCCCTCAATACGGTGCAGTCGTCCTGTCCCCTTTGCAGAAAAGCATCCCCAAAGAATTATGTTTCCACCCCCATGCTTCACGGTTGGGATGGTGTTCTTGGGGTTGTACTCATCCTTCTTCTTCCTCCTGTCACGCCCTGGCTCTGGGGACACTGTTATGTTGAGCCAGGGTGTGTAATTCTATGTTTGTATTTCTATGTTGGCCTGAGTGACTCCCAATCAGAGGCAACGAGTGTCAGCTGGTTGTCTCTGATTGGGAGCCATATTTAACTGTCTGTCTTTCACTTTGTGTTTGTGGTTTCTTGTTCCGTGTTGGTTGGTGTATGTAACCAGGGACGTCACGGTTTCGTTTTGTTGTTTTGATCGTGTGATCATTTATCAAATAAAGAAGATGTTTGCCTTCAACGCTGCGCCTTGGTCCTCCTCCTTAGACGAGCGTGACAGAAGAAACCACCAAGATGTGACCAAGCAGCGTGTCCAGGAGCCATCGCCAGGGAGATCTCTAACAGATCTCCTTCGCCTCCTCGACTGGGTCAAGCCGGATGAGGAGGAGAGGGGCTTGACATTGTGGCAGAAGGGCGAACGGCTGGCGAGGGACATGGAGACCTTGGCCACGGGTAGGAGTGAAGCCCAGAAAATGTTTAGGGGGGGGCTAACGCCGTGGACGACGGGCCAGCAGGAGACCGCGGCAGAGCGGCCCAGCGGATTGGCAGAGGAGGCCGCCAGGTTACGGGGGCCACTGGTCGAAGAGGGGGTGGAAGATGTAGAGGCACGGCGAGAGGTACTGGCGTGTGTTGCCAGTCCGGTCCGGCCTGTTCTTGATCCCCACGTAGGGCCAGTGGTGTGTGTTCCCAGTACGGTCCGGCCTGTTCCTGCCACTCGCACCAAGTCTACGGTGCGCATCGCCAGCTCGGCCCGGCCCATTCGTGCTCCCCGCACCAAGTCAGTGGTGCGTTTCGTCAGCCCTGTCCGGCCCGTTCCTGCTCTCCGCACCAAGTCTGTGGTGCGCGTCGCCAGCCCAGTCCGGCCCATTCCTGCTCCCCGCACCAAGTCTGTGGTGCGTTTCGTCAGCCCTGTCCGGCCCGTTCCTGCTCTCCGCACCAAGTCTGTGGTGCGCGTCGCCAGCCCTGTCCGGCCCGTTCCTGCTCCCCGCACCAAGTCAGTGGTGAGCTTCGTCAGCCCGGTCCGGCCCGCTCCTGCTCCCCACACCAAGCCAGTGGTGTGCGTCGTCAGTCCAGCACGGCCCGTGCCTGTTCCACCGGTGGCGGGTCCGGCACCGGTCAGGTGCTGCGTCACGCCGGAGCTAGAGCAATCCGTTCCACCAGTGTTCAGTTCAGCTCTGGTCAGCAGGGCCAGACCGGACCAGGGGTACTTTGGGGGGTTAGAGAAGGAGTGGGGATCATGCCCGGAGCCGGATCCGCCGCCTAGGCGGAGTGCCCACCCGGTCCCTCCCCTGTGGTACTTAGTTGGCGCGGTCGGAGTCCGCGCCTTTAGGGGGGGGTACTGTCACGCCCTGGCTCTGGGGACACTGTTATGTTGAGCCAGGGTGTGTAATTCTATGTTTGTATTTCTATGTTGGCCTGAGTGACTCCCAATCAGAGGCAACGAGTGTCAGCTGGTTGTCTCTGATTGGGAGCCATATTTAACTGTCTGTCTTTCACTTTGAGTTTGTGGTTTCTTGTTCCGTGTTGGTTGGTGTATGTAACCAGGGACGTCACGGTTTCGTTTTGTTGTTTTGATCGTGTGATCATTTATCAAATAAAGAAGATGTTTGCCTTCAACGCTGCGCCTTGGTCCTCCTCCTTAGACGAGCGTGACACCTCCAAACACGGTGAGTGGAGTTTAGACCAAAAAGCTCTATTTTTGTCTCATCAGACCACATGACCTTCTCCCATTCCTCCTCTGGATCATCCAGATGGTCATTGGCAAACTTCAGACGGGCCTGGACATGCGCTGGCTTGAGCAGGGGGACCTTGCGTGCGCTGCAGGATTTTAATCCATGACGGCGTAGTGTGTTACTAATGGTTTTCTTTGAGACTGTGGTCCCAGCTCTCTTCAGGTCATTGACCAGGTCCTGCCGTGTAGTTCTGGGCTGATCCCTCACCTTCCTCATGATCATTGATGCCCCACGAGGTGAGATCTTGCATGGAGCCCCAGACCGAGGGTGATTGACCGTCATCTTAAACTTCTTCCATTTTCTAATAATTGCGCCAACAGTTGTCGCCTTCTCACCAAGCTGCTTGCCTATTGTCCTGTAGCCCATCCCATCCTTGTGCAGGTCTACAATTTTATCCCTGATGTCCTTACACAGCTCTCTGGTCTTGGCCATTGTGGAGAGGTTGGAGTCTGTTTGATTGAGTGTGTGGACAGGTGTCTTTGATACAGGTAACGAGTTCAAACAGGTGCAGTTAATACAGGTAATGAGTGGAGAACAGGAGGGCTTCTTAAAGATAAACTAACAGGTCTGTGAGAGCCGGAATTCTTACTGGTTGGTAGGTGATCAAATACTTATGTCATGCAATAAAATGCAAATTAAATTACTTAAATATCATACAATGTGATTTTCTGGATTTTTGTTTTAGATTCCGTCTCTCACAGTTGAAGTGTACCTATGATAAAAATTACAGACCTCTACATGCTTTGTAAGTAGGAAAACCTGCAAAATCGGCAGTGTATCAAATACTTGTTCTCCCCACTGTATATGTCACGCCCTGGCTCTGGGGACTCTTATATGTTGAGCCAGGGTGGATTTTCTATGTGTGATTTTCTATGTTTTGTTCTAGTTCGTG